TTGCGGTGGAATGGCAAGGCAATATGGAGATGTAATGATTGAAGAAGTATGGAAGGAAAATGGAATGCATTGTTTCTTGGCATCTAATTAGGGTATAGTCCAATGGTGCAAAGAACAGGAGTGAGATTATCTCATATCTTGTTAGCAGTCGCAGTGTGAGAGTTCGATTTTTGAGACATGAAATTGGACTTCTTGTAGGCGCAGTGCATAGACAGCTCTTGTTCTCTAGCCTGTTGGGACATATCCCCCGATTTACCTCCCTTACAAATCTCTATGAGCGATGGGAGGCCTCAAAGTTGGGGTTCAACCCTTTTTTTTTTTTTTTTTTTTCAGGAAATGTAATGGTTTAAGTTTTGGCCGTTGGTTAGGTATATATGCACTCACCCGCCAACCTAATTCCTTATCTACTTCCCTCTTTATTTATTTATTTTTGGAAAGAGGCTAAAGCACAAAAAATTCCACTTTTTTGGCCTTTTGTTTTGCCCTCTTCTAATGAGCAGCCATTTGGCAGATGCGAAGAGAATATAACATTTTGAAGAGAAAGATACAACTTGATTTTCATTTAATGCAAATATAAATTTAATTGGCCTAACTGATTAAGAATGGAAGAAAATAGAAATTTTATTTTAAATTTTATGTCATCGTCATACTTCTTGTCATCATAATATTATTTAATTATGAGTTATTACTTGTAAAATAATTTTATAGATGCTTTACAATTTTTATGATTTGTTTTATACTAAAGATTCTGCTTTAACTATTTTGGGGATTTTTCAGAAGAAAATTTATAGTACGTCAGCCAAAACTACAAAAAAAATCCCTCCACCTACCACTAAGCAATCCTCCCTATCAAGACCAATAACTTCATCAAATAGATTTGGAAGATAGATTTTTGACGAATAAACATATTTGACGATCAACTTCACAAAAGCTTTTAAGGGTTCATTTAACAAGACTTTTACTTATTGTAGAAAAATAACTTTTGACTTTGTAAAAATTACGTCAATCAAGTCTTAACGAGAAAATAATAATGGTGTTTTCAAGAAAAATCATTGTAACGACATGGACTCTCCCCATATTAAAACAATCAAGCTACACAAACAGAGTCTGTGACAGAACTAAGGTGGCGATGCCTCAACCCTTGTCATAGGGACCTGTCAAAGGTCCCCGTTTGAGTAGCAAAATTCATATTAAAATGAGTTTGAGTACTTTAATGTTAAATTAACAAATCACGTTATTGTTAAAATGCATATTTTTCGAAGATTTTTATTGAAATATTCTAGTTTTTTTTCTAAACTAATTTGACATCACTAAATTACTTAATAAATGAAAACTTACTTGCAACTATCAGTCATATCTGAGAGTTGCCAAAATTGTTTATAAGACAGACAAGAAGCCACCTGACAGACTCGTTAGGAACTTTCTATTTATTATTCCATTTTTTAAACAAGTCACTGTGGTAGCCGCCGACGGCCGGCCGGTCTGGTCAAATAATAATATATGTAATTCCACAGTTCCACTTGCAGTCACATTTTCTTCTCTGTTTCACATTCAAGCTTATAGACATTGAATTGGATATTTTTTGTTAAGGACATACCTCATAAATGACTTCTAACCAACTCCCAGATATACCTTACAAGAAGAAACAAATCTTCCGATAAGAAAACTGAAAACATTTGGAAGTATAAAGATCTATTGGCTAAATAAAAATGGAAACGGAATTTAAATAAGAACTAAACTTTTGGTACATCCAGGGGTACCGAAGCGTGTACCTAATGGACACGCGACGAACCCCGGTTGGAGGACGCTTCGGTACCTCCCGATGTACTGGTAGCATTACCGTTTAATTAATCATCTTGCTCCTTGAATCTTGATGTAGATTCATTCAAGTCCCATATTTAAACATCAACCATTCTTGAAGAGTTTTTGTTTCAAAGAGGAGAAAACTTAATCATTTTCTCCCTTGTATTAGATTATAAATTCTTCGTTCTCAATTCTACCAACACTTCGAATGTGCGGAAAAGTTTATTTTTTAAGGAAGTTAAAACGGGTTTTTGAAACGATATCCAGGAGAAAAGGGTACGATTTCTTATTCAAAAGCACTAATCATCAATGAGATTACCCTAAGCAGCGGCAATCTTGAAGGTTTTGAAGAGAATTCAATTGCAAAACTCCGTTCTCAATAAAACTCAAGAAAGAAATACTTTTTAAATTTTTCCGGGGAAAATGAGAAGTCGAAATTTCACATTGATAATTACACAATAAATATTTGACGAATTCATTATCTGATTTTTCTTTTAAAACTTCAGTATAACAAGAAATATGTGACGATCAAGAAGCGTTAAAAAAATTTCTGTAAATTGCTTAAATAAAGGAAAATATCTGAAGATCACAAATAATTCATACTCTAATAGAATTCTTGCTGGCAATTTTTGTAGTATAGCGCAATGAGCAAATGGCTATAAAAACCACTGGTGATGCATTCTTAAAAGGAATTTCAACTTTTTCAATAACATTAAATTGAGTTTTATAACAATGGTCAGTCCTCTCCACTCATTAGGTTCATGCAGAACACTAATAGTCAATAATTTGGCTTTGGAGAGCTGCCTCTTGATCATCAGATTAGAAAAAGCAGAGATGGACAGATTTAAGTATACTGATTAAAGCATTGAAGTAACAACTTTCTGGTAATGACATGATAAACATGTTAAACCACTTAACTGGAGACCAAACGGACAGCGAAAACAGTTAAAATATGATGATGGCACAAAATCAATAAACTACTAAGATTTGTGCCGTCCTCTGCAGCGGCTTCAAATGTCTCACCATCAACAAGTTCAGGCACCTCATCCTCATCATCTTTCTGTTAAAAGTAGCACCAGCACCTGGAGCCTGCTTCTGGAACTGCTCTGCCAATTTCTTCAGATTCTCCAAGTTATCGAGGCCTGAATGCTTCAGGTTAAACCATTCGATTAACAAGTTCTAACAGCAGCAATCAAACAGCCAAATACCACAAGAAACAGGAAGTGTTACGTACCCAACTGATGAATAATTTGGGGAAGAATGTCTTGCAATTCTGAAACAACATTGAGTGAAGGTCGTGATTAACAGAATATTAAAACAATGGAAGAGGACTAGCAATGTAGCTGCTCTCTTTTTTCCTTTTGCCGAAAAGGAAGAAATGCATACGAGAGAGATGCTGAGAAACAAACAAACACAAAGACTAAAACCCAGTTCTAAAGTCTAGAATAAAAATATAGAAACACTCAAATCACTAAAGACTAAAAAGAAACCACAATAACATTTTCAATAAAAGAAGGGAAACATACTTTTGTTCTGAGGAGTGCCACTAACAATTCAAGTGTTGCCAGCAATATAAGCTTCAACTAAATAAAGGAGCAAACAACAGTTAGCGCCAATCTAAAAGACAAAATGCAGATTCAGTTTTCACTGTGTACCTTTAGGGTTAAGGAACTGGATGACTACATCCTCTTCGAAAATATTGACCTCCTCAATTGCAGGTATTGCATTGACACCTATTCTCTTCAGGGTGCTTTGAAGTTTTTTTTTTTTTTTCATCTATGGTGGTTTTCTTGTGAACAGCCTTCTTTTTCTGCAATTGAAGGCATATATTAAACAACTTTGATAGAAAAGTATACATTGTCTAACTCTAGCCAACTTGTGTTCCAACTTAATACAAAATGTATACGTAGACTCTATAGAAATCATGATGCCCATTTCAACAGAGTGTTTACATTTTTGAAGAATATA